AAAATGCTTCCCTTTCTTTCTTACTTGGTGGTTCAAAGGAAGGAATCGACGATGGCCAAGGTACACGACCTTTCGACATCTTTTCAAATATATACTGTCAAGGTCATCAAAACAATGTGTGCATGCATTATATCCTTTGTTTGTCTGACCTGAAAGATTACTTAAAGCAGGCCAATCATTGATGGTTACGAACAACATTGCTCGTAGGTCAAAGTGTTCTTGTTTGTACTCATCCCAGACACGTACACCTGGTTTGTTCCATAAAACTAGAAGTTCTTCAACTAATGGCTTCAGATATACATCAATATCGTTGCCGTGTTGCCTCGGACCTTGGATGAGGATCGGCATCATAATGAACTTCCGCTTCATGCATAACCATGGAGGAAGGTTGTAGATACATAGAGTAACCGCCAAGTGCTATGACTAGTGCTCTCTGCTGTCCAAAAGGATTCATACCATCTGTATTTAAAGCGAACCTTAAGTTTCTAACCTCATTTGCAAACTCAAAAAAATTCTCTATCTATCGCTCTCCACTTTGGGACCCATCAATTGGGTGTCTCAAAGATATTGTCTACCTTACGGTCTTCTTTATACCACCGCAACAACTTTACGTGGTCTTTATTTCTGAACAACGTTTTAAGCGTGGTATTATAGGAGCATACCACATAACCTTGGCGAGGATTTTCTTTCTAGGACGTTGTTCACCCTCGACGTCACCGGGATCATCGCTACCGATCTTATACCGCGATGCTTTACATACCGGGCATTCATCCAAATTCTCGTATTCATTGCCATGGTAGAGGATACAACATTAGGACATGCATGTATCTTCCGGATTTTTAATCCCAAAGGGCGGAACAACCTTTTTTGCTTCGTGACGTAGTGGTGGGCAATTCATTTGGCTTCGAAGCATCTTCTTTATGAGGTTTAATAAATTCCCAAATGCCTTATCGGATACACCATTCTTTTGCCTTCCACCGTAGCAATTCCAAAGGTTGTACCCAGCTTTTTTTGCCCCTCTTCGGCCATCGGGTATAGCAACTTCCTATGATCCTCAAGCATGCGCTCCAACTTAACTTTCTCTTTTTCACTTTCCCATTCTTGTTGTGCATCACGAATGGCATCGCCAAGAGCATCACCGAGATCATCTTCTACCGCTACCTCTTCTTCATCTCCCCCCATTGTAGTATCATCAAAGGCACCATACTGAGCAATAATGTCATCAATGTCTAAATCTTCTCCTTCACCTTCTTCCATCATGACCCCGCTTTCTCCATGCTTAGTCCAACATATATAGTTTGACATGAAACCTGACTTAAGCAAATGTGAATGAAGACTCATTGAGCTTGAATATTCCTTTAAATTCTTACATAGGGCACATGGACAGCATATGAAACCATCCCGCTTATTTGCCTCGGCCACACCTAAGAAATAGTGCAAGCCCTCTATAAAGTCTTGGGAGCGACGATCGGCATTGTACATCCAATGGCGTGACATAATCTGTATTACACGACAAATTATGAAAACCTTGAACATAATTAAGTATTTTATTACACAACATAAATGACACACACACGGTTGATTAATTATCTAAGCCTGCTACAACGTAAGCAATCCCAACTATCACTAAACAAACTAAAACTACAATGCACTTCAAGAACATAATTATTTTGTGATCGTGATGCAACTAAAAATGGACAAATCATTCTTCATTGAATATCAATAAGCTTCTCCTGCTGGCTCATCGCCTCATCAAGAAGATCCGCTACCTCAAGCGCACCCAAATTACGCACGTATGTAGCATAATCTTCCTCCCAAGACCAACCATCGCATCCATTGCCCTCCCACTGAAATTAAAGCCAAAAATATTTAGTCAAAAATATTCAAGAAAAGCAGTCAATTAGCCATAATTATAAAATGCGTAAGAAACTCACATCGCGATCCGGGCACTTGTAGAAAACACGACCCTTGTTGGGTCCCTCGCTCTTGACTCGGTACTCCATCACAATCTTCGCTTACACTTGCCGCAGATAATGAGAGGGAGTTCGGCCTCGATCGTTCAAGAACCGAACGAGAGGCCGAGGATCCAAAGATAACGATTGTCATCTACTTTCTATACTTATTTTTGCAAACTAGTGTAAATTTCATATTTTCAAATATCCATCAAATTATAGCTCAAAAACATGTTTCAATAAATAACCATCCGTACTAGTTGACCTTGCTTACGTGATCATCTCGTGAGCATTTCTCCACCGACGCGACACCGTGCTTGGCAAGGAAGAGCTCCGATTCTACGAGAAAGGGAACACGGTCTTCCACGACCGTTGCCGCTCTCCTCGTAGAATCAAAGCTCCTCCTTGACGTCCGTTACCGCTCGGCAGAGAACATGCTCGCCGAGATGAACACGGTCCGCAAGTTCAACTAGTACGGATTTTCTACAATTTTCTAACAATTTTCTAAGTTTTTCATTTCATGGAAAAATTAATTCTAAGATCACGTAAGCCACCGGGGACGAGAATGGCGCGTGCTCCAGCGAGGACGAGCGAGGCATGATTTTGATGAACTAATTTAACTTTTGTTTATCCAAACATATATGCAAATCATCATGTGATTTTGAGCTAAAATGACATATAAAATCATAATAAAGTCCAACATATAAAGTTACACATGCATCTACATTGCAAAATGAGATAAGCTACTTGATAAAACATAAGAGGATTAAGTTTGTTACCTCCAAAATCGAAGAGCAACACCAATGGAGGGGAGAGTGCAAGAACAACAACAGCAAGTCAAGAACAGAGGCGGTGAGTTTGAATAATGGAATAGCTCGGGCTCGGGAGAAAAGAATTGAGCAGAATTATAGGTCGGGATAATTAGTCCCGGTTAGGGGTCCAAACCGGGACTAAATATTAATCTTTATTCCCGGGCATAACCCAAACCGGGACTAAAGATCCCCTATTGGTATTACCAACCGACTAAGGTAACCTTTAGTCCCGGTTGGTAATACCAAAGACTAAAGATCCCCACCTCATGACGACCGTTAGGCGAGGACCTTTAGTCCCGGTTGGTATTACCAACCGGGACTAAAGGGTCCTTTAGTCCCGGGGGCAAAAAATGCCGAGGCTAATGCTAAATTGGGACATCGTTCTAAAGTCTGTTCTCTAGTAGTGATATATCTGAAAAGTCATAACAACTTACAATTTAAAATGGAAGGAGTACTTACCAGTGCTAAAGGCGGAACACAAAAAAAAACTTTCTTTTCGTTTGTTTTAACTTTGAGTTTTTTTTTTGCTCATTCACGTCAAGTTTCCTTTCTTCTGTGATTTTAGTGAGTTATCGTGCACTACCGGAAACGTCAAATTTGCCGAGTGTTTTTATGTTTGCCGAGTGTATTCTATCGGGCACTCGACAAACAAGTTCTTTGCCAAGTGCTTCCCTAAAAACACTCGGCAAAAAAAAAACTCAATAAAGAGAAGGTTTGCCGAGTGTAAAAAAAAACACTCGGCAAAGAGGGGGTTTGCCGAGTGTTTTTTTTTTGACAATCGGCAAAGAAATAAAATCTTTTTTCTGGGAAAGAAGGAGAAGAAAAAAAATGAAAAAAAACTTTCCCGAGTGCCCAGATCTAGGACACTCGGCAAAGGAAAAAAAATCTTTTTCTGGGAAAGAAGGAGAAAAAAAAATGAAAAAAAAACTTTGCCGAGTGCCCAGATCTAGGACACTCGGCAAAGGAATAAAATATCTTTTCTGGGAAAGAAGGAAAAGAAAAAAAATGAAAAAACAACTTTACCGAGTGCCCAGATCTAGGACATTCGGCAAAGGAATAAAATATATTTTCTGGAAATAAAACACCGCCTCCCACCTCTCTCCCGCACCGCCTCCCTCCTCTTTCCCGCACACCGCGCGCCGCGCCGCCCCCTCCCCTTCTCCCTTCTCCCCACATGCGCCGCGCCTCCCCTTCTCCCTTCTCCCCACAGGCGTTGTGCCGCCCCCTCCCCTTCTCCCCTTGCAGCGCCCAGCCCACCTCCCCCTCCCTTCTCCTTCTCCTGCACGTGCGTGCATGACCCCTCCCTCCCGGCCGAATCCGGCGGCGGCCCCTCCCCTCCCGGCCGGATCCACCCGGCCGCCCCTCCTTCCCCCGGCCGCCGCCCCCGCCCCAGATCCGGCGGCGTCCCCTCCCCTCCCCAGATCCGGCGGTGTCCCGACGGCCGCCCCTCCCCTCTTCCGGATCCGGCGGGTGGCGTGGCGGTGGGTGGAGTGCGGCTTGGCGGGAGGCATGCGGCGTGCGGCGTGGCGGGCGGGTGGCGTGGCGGCGGGTTGCGTGGTGGCGGGTGGCGTCCGGCGTGGGGCGGCAGCGGGCGTGGTGGCCGTGGTGGGTGGCGGCCGGTGGTGGCGTGGTGGCCGTGGCGAGTGGCGTCCGGCATGGGGCAATTTGTTTTTTTTATTTCTTGCGAAAAATGTTTGCCGAGTGTTTTTTGGGCACTTGGCGACGTCTTTGCCGAGTGTCCGACGAAAAACACTCGGCAAAGTGAGTTTGCCGATAAATTTTTGCCGTGTGCCATTTGCCGAGTGTTACACTCGGCAAAGGGTTTACCGAGTGTTTTAGTTTATTTGCACGGCAAAGCTCCCGTTCCCCGTAGTGGTGGATGGAGACTCACAACCACCTCAACACCTTTGCCAGCATGATCGTAGGCGGGGGAGGCTGACGCTTCTGCATCGCACGGCCCAAAAAATAATTGATAATAATCGGTAAATCAACAGGTTGATCATTAGCCTTTTCGTTACTAAATAACGCACGCAAAGTTAAATGGCCTCCCTTGCTAGGCTTTACACATCAGCCCACACATGCCTCCAAAACCGTAACCTTTTGGGGGAGAAAACAGACGAAAACTTGGAGCTACAGTCCAAAATCCGACACGGAGACGCAGCTTCCTTTAAATATTGCTGACCACTGTTTTGGCAGCCGCACCGCCCCCGTCGTCATTCCGGCGTTCCGCCGCGCCATGGACGACTGCGTGCACACATCAGCCATGCCCAACCCGGAGCCGGCGTCTCCCGCTCCTGCGCCGCCGCAAGAAGCCACCGGCGACTCGGAGTCCGACACCCCCGTGCCGGGCCTCAGCCTCACAGTAGGGGACCGTCCCTTGGTGGCAGCTGGCTACGCCGAGGACGACGCCGAGTCGTGCAGCGGCGCCGATAACAACCGCGTCCCTGCTGCTAGCGTCGACGGCGACGACGGCCGTGGCGCAGACGACGACGCGGCCATGGAGGATGACGAGAACGAAGTTGACAGCAGGATGTCCATCCCCTGGTGGCGCCGGACGGTCCAGGACGCGGCGGCCGGTGCCGGTGCGGGAGGTGGCTGCGCGCGGCCCCAGGCGGCGGCGGAGGGCGGGGCAGCTGTTGTGGCCGGCGGCAGCCACGCGGCCGAGAGCAACAGGCTCTTCTGGGAGGCTTGCGTTGCGCGTGGATACTAGCTGACTCATGACTGGTACTGGTAGGCAGTAGTGTAGCCGCCGGCCCGCCGCCCGCCATGGATGGGGCATCCAGGTAGATGTAGAATTTGTAGATGTAGAAGATGGGGTCGGGGAACATTGCTTGGCCTCCGGCGCTGCGTGCCATTTCATGACGTCAGGCATCTGACATCATCTTGTCTCAGAATGCTTTGCGTAGCCAAATTGTGCACCCATTTAGGCCACCACCCCTGAATTTTGTCGGTACTCCGATCCCTCCGGTCAATGCCACATGCACCCATTTTTAGAAGTAGCAAGTATTCCGTCCTGTCATAAAAGCATGTCGTATAGGACAATTCGTTAAACCTTTAAAAGTTGGTGATACTACTGTACTAGGACTAGTAGCTTGCACCGTTTATTTACTTGTTGCCTGCCTCTTATAATTCATGGTAAACGCTGCCTGTTCTTAAGTTTTTTTAGATTAAGTTGCCTAACGATGGTTAATACGTTTTCAAGTATAAGTAAATTTTGAGCTATAACTCAGAGCATCCCACCTCCCAATCTTTTGGCACTTGGGAAAAAACCCTCCCCTTACACGTAAAGATGCGCGTACTCCACGTCACGCGTAAACGTGCGTATCCTTCGGCCAATCTAAAGGTCGAAGGGCGAGGAAAGAATAAAGAGTAGAAAAGCTTCCTAATGCAAATGTATAAAAGAGAAACAATATATAAAATTGGTAGGATAATTTAGAAATAGTACATGATTTCTAATGTAATTTTTTTCTATATTTTAGAAGTAAATTATTGGGAACTGTTAGTGATTATCTTATTTATTCCTCCTAATACTTTTTAGCGAGTAGGAGAACTCTATGGTTTTGGAAAGAAAATATTGGAAACTCTTGGAGATCTCTCATTAGTTACCCAAATATTTTAACTCACAGTATCAGCTCATCAACTCATATATATGTGGACACTTTTTTTTTGTGCGGGGGGGGGGGGGGGCAACTCAAATGTGGACCTGTGACTAGAAAATTTCAAACCTTTATCACCTCCATGGATTTGGCTAGTTACTTCAGCCACTGAAATGAATTGAGGTGGTCAAAGGAGAAGGCTTTGTGTAGCCAAATTGTGCTTCAACGAGATAGTGATAAAAAATCAGTAAAAGCAGTTAAGATTAGGTTTTGATTAGCTTGCGCACCAAATCTAAAAACATCCTACTTATGATTCCTTGCGTGGTTTTGATTAGCTTGCGCACCAAATCTAAAAACATCCTACTTATGATTCCTCGCGTGCCTCCCATCCTGTCTCCGTTCACCCGATTTCGGGATGTACTAGTAATGCATGCCGGGATTAACCGCTTTGATCGCATTGAACAATGCTAGCAAGTCATCGTACCCATCTTTCCAATTGAAAGGTCCTTGTTTGGTTTTGCTAATTGAGTGACAACCTTAGGTAAATTAATTGTGTTTATGTGAGATACACAGATGATTAGTCTATAGTTACATGTGTGTGAACAATACATGCCATGACGGTGAAGATGGCTCGAAGATGTTGCAAAGCTCACACATATGATGATGAAGGAGATCATTGCATATGAGACATGACATGGAGTCATGTGACCAAGGTGGAGAAGATCGAGACAAGACTTGGCTCAACAGACCGGTTGTAAGTGTGAAGGGCAAGTTGAGTGATGACTTAGCGCCGATGGACCGAGGCAACAGTGAAGAGCAAGTGAAGTCAAGATCGATGAAGCAATATGGTCACGTGATGATATGATGTGGATCATATCATTTGGTGATTGGTTGGTGCATGTGTTGCATCGACATCGAAGGAGATGAAGTGGAATGCGCAAGGCTAAGGTATAACCTAGGGCATTTCATTTTACCGGTCAAAGGTTATGTAGAGAAGTGTATGACTAGGTTTAGGATAGATGGCCATACTATTACGAGGAGCAAACTTGTTTGCATATCGGTCATCAAGTGCCACTTAAGCGATCTAACCTTGCAAACGTGTTAGGATCGAGTGGCGTGGTGAATTGAGTGACTAATCCTTTGGGAAATGTTTGTGAAAAGCTAACACACGTGCACAAGTTTGTAAACACTTGGTGGTGTTAGCACATTTGCGAAGGAGAAGTCAAAAGGTGAAGAAAGAAGATGAAGCTAGGCTCAGAGTGTTGCCCTGGGGGCACCGCCCCTAGCTGTCCGGTGCACCGCCACGCCAATGGCGGTGACCGGCTGGTGAAGGCCGAGAGCAGGGGTTGGAGATGGCACCAACGTGCTGTGTCCGGTGGCACCATCACCCCTAGGGCGGTGCCCACCTGGAGGCCGAGAGGGAGGAGTTGGCTGATGCCCTGGGGGGCACCGCCACTGTCTATCCGGTGGCACCGCCACCCCTAGGGCGGTGCCCATCAGACCGAGGCCGAGAGCGGCAGTGGGTGACTCGGTCACCGTCGTGTCCGGCGTGCACCACCGTGTGGAGGGCGGTGGCACCTCCAGGGGCTGTCCGGTGTACCGCCCCTTTTCGGCAGAGAGCAGGAGAAGGCAAGGGAGTCACCACCACGGGCACCGCCATGTCTAGGGCGGTGCACCGCCCTATTTTTCAAGAGACGTGGTGTTTCAGGTGGCTGGCTGGGTGGTCACCGCCACCCCTAGGGTAGTGCCACCGCCACCCTGTCCGGTGACCAACGGCTAGTTTCTAGCCGTTGGAATTCGACCGTTGGAAGGGGTACCGCTGTGTCCGGTGCCAGGCACCGCCGTGTCTAGTGCCCTCGTAGAAACCAACAGCTTTGCTCCAATAGCTCTATTTGGCTTGGGGGCTATAAATAGAGGTGGAGCTCAGGCTTGGGCTGGTTGCTGAGCACCCTTAAGCCTTGGTGGCTTGTGTAGGTGTGCTTAGGAGCCCTCCAACTCACTTGTGCTTGCAAGAGTGCGATCCGATTGCGAGTGAGTGTGATTCTAGTGTGTTGCATCGTGAGGTTGCATCGAGTGGCACTTGGTGATCGAGTTGTAAGCCGGTGGTGCTTGTTACTCTTGGAGGTTGCCACCTCCTAGACGGCTTGGTGACTTGTGACTCCGTTGAAGCACGCGGGAAGATTGTGTGATGCTTCGGAGGAGGATTTGTGAGGGAGATTGTGCTCACCCCACGGGGGTCGCGAAGAGCAACTCTAGTAGAGCGAGACGTGAAGGGCGACAAGTGTCCGGCCAGGTCAAGTGCTAGAGCTTGTGGTAAGCACTCCACGTGGGAGAGTGACTTGCGGGTCACCACTAGCAAGAGGACCGGCGAGAACCTTAGAGTTTGTCTCAACGGGGACTAGCGTGTTGGCAAGCACGTGAACCTCGGGATAAAATCACCATGTCATCCTTGTCTTTCTGTTGGTTTGCAATTCCCTTACACAAGCTTGTAATTACTTTCATATTTATTGTGCTTGTGTAGTTGCTCTTGTAATTAGTTAGCTTGTGTAGCTTGCTAATTACCTTCTTGCTTATGTAGCATAGAAGTAGCCCCCTTGCGTGACTAATTCGGTTTGAGTGACCTTGTTAGTCACATTGCTTAGTTTGTAGAGCATTTGTGTAGCTAAGTGTTTTGCGCTCTATAATTTGTCTTGTGTAGCCTTATTATTTAGCATTGCTAGTGAGCTTAGGTGGCTTTGTGCTTTTGTTTACTAGCATGTGTAGGAGCTCCCCGGTAGTCAAAGTACTAGTACATAGGTTTGTGTGACCTTGCTCTAGAATTAATTAGGTGAGCTCTAGCTAGCCCGGCACCTTTGTTGCCTAATTGGGATCTTTATAAGGTGCTTGTGAACTTAGATAGAGGGGTGTAGTCTTGCTGTCTTGGCTAGATCGATAGTTTTAATTCCACATTTGTTTCGGTTAGCCGGCGCGATTAATTTTAGAAAAGACTATTCAACCCCCCTCTAGTCCGCCATCTTGACCCTACACCAATCCCCATATATTATCTTCCAGGCACGTTGCTTTCCCCTCCATGCTTTTCCATACCTTATCTTGTAATCAAATTTCTCCTTAATCATCACCATAATTGTCTTCACCTTCAAAAGTTGTGTTCTCCCTTTAATATGTGCCACAGTGACTTGGCAATAACTGTAGAGGTCAACAGCCAATGCTTCTGGTTGAGCTCTATTTCGGCACAAGTGTGTGGGCCAACGATTCTTGTGATCTTGAACTTTCCTGTGTGCTTTTGTTTTCTAGCATAAACCCCCCCCATTCACATGTTTCCTTCTTACACACACAACTGTGTACCTCAGCTACACATAGGAATGCCACACCGTACCTTGAATGGTATTTTATGAATCACTGAATACTGCTGCAGCCACCTTTTCAATGTAGGTAGGTCCTTGAATACCATGCCCTTCTCAATTACCATGCTTAGCCTGGCCTCCAAGCATCTAGCAGCTCGTCATCCCTTCCTTCTGCATAAGCCTTATGAGAATGACTTAGATCCCTGAATCCATGAACTATTGGATCTTGGTCAGGGCAAAAATGCTTGATCAACTCAGTATCACTTTATGTCAGCTCTCTGACAGGGCGGTCATCATCAGAATCAACGGCTCTTGCGATCTCATAAGGCTCACAGTAAAAGAATTTAAATATCTACTCTAGTAGAACATGTGCAAAGAGATGTATCCAAGGGGCATAGCTAGGAGTTTGACATAGCAGGGCCCATTGTCAATAAAACAACAAACACGCATGCATATGTAGACACACACACATATGTACACGCCCACATATATATAGGCTGAACTTTAGCAAAGATTACAAGGACTACAATTAATATTCCATTACACATACATAGGTTCTGAATATAAGGGTAAATAAATGCTAATGATCAACCTCAAGAGAAGTTCAACACATGGATTAGTTCAAAATGCATGAGAGGGTGTCCAAATTTATTTAAAGCACCTTAGTTAATGTAACAACTACAAGAGACACTATATTCCATAACCACAAGCAACACTAGGTGATGCTTGGCCCTCCTCCCTCCTTCCCTCCACCTTCGTGCATCCACATAGATGAGTATGTGTTGGTGTGTCCGTCAAATTACATGTTTCTATTGTTCTTCGGCATGTATAATAATTCATTATGTTTGTTTGATCATGAAAATTATTTTAAAGTCTTACAACCTACTCATCGTGCCCCGTGAAACACTTGGATACAACATATGTCGGACATAGATGAAATATTTGAAACATACTGTTGCAACATATGTGTGAAACATATACAATATCTAGATAAAACACTTGCAACATGTGTGTGAAATATATGCAACATCTAGATAAAATACTTGCAACATGTGTGTGAAACATATGCAATTGCAACATGTGTATAAAATATATGCAACATCTAGATAAAACACTTGTTACAACATACGTTTGAAAATATTTTTTTCAAAACACTTGCAAAAATAAGCAACATGTGCAACGTCCCGATCTAATTTTGCAACACCCATATGTAACAATTGCAACATACCTCTGAAACACTTGACACATACATTTGCAACATAAGGGAGGAGAAGGCTGGGGCCGGTCGATTTCGGCCATCGGGGTGGGATCTGGCGGCGTGCGAGCACCACCACCATCCAGCTCCAGCAGCACCGGCCTTGGCTCAGCCTGGCGGGCGGCGCGCGATACGAGAGGGAGCGAGCGGCGCGGTGCATGGCCGAAGCGAGGAGCGAGGTACAGGTGGGGCGCGCAACGAGTGGGGGCAAGGAGTGAGCGGCACAGGTAGGGCGCGCGACGGCGCGGGAACGAGGATCAAGCAAGCGAGCGGCGTAGGGTCGGGGGTGCGGTGGGAGAACGCCGCAACAGCGAGCGAAGTGAGGCGCGACATCCGGATGAGAATAAGGAGCATGGAAAAAAAAGGTAAAGTTGTGGTGCACGTCACGCCACATATTCGTCCGGAGGGAATCGCTGACATCGGACGTCTTGTTTGTAGCATTTTCGTTTATTCTGAGACGGAGGGGCATGATGGAAATATTTTGGTCCACCCCATTGTTTTCCAGGATTTTACTTGATACTTGTTTTGAAGCATTTTGTATTTCCACCTGTATTTTCACCACCCCATTCAGCCGTTAGATCTGACAGCTCTACGTCTACCACCTCGCATCAGACGGCCAGTCAGACTCCTGCTTCCTCACCCGCTGCCTCGCCGCCGCCGAACCGAAATCCACCTCGCCTTCGCCGGGGCGTCGCCTTCCAGCCGCTCCCAGAGCTGCCGGCGGCAGCGGCGGCCAACCAGCCGTGTGGCTCTACGGGGCCTCCTCCGGGCAGCCTCGCCGTCGTTCCGCCGCAGGTGCGCCCTGCCCCCATCCCTCCCCTCCTTTGATACGGTCGCAGAGATCTCTGACACTTGCGTATTTCTGCGGGTTCACCTATACAATACACATAGAATGTTTTTTCCCCTTTTCTTACCGCTAGGGTCCAGGGGATATGAGCGAGTATCCCATACAATTTTTTACCATGTGCTGGGTTTGGAACATGCAAACCTTTCCTGGTTTATACACAAGCTAAACTATTTCATACAATTTTTTTTTCAACTCCGATGTGTGAGTGTGAGTTACAAACGGCAACCCGTAGTGTAAATGAACAACAGCAAGAAATATTTGCACAACCATTTGTGCGCAGTTTCTTGTCAGTATCTGAATAACTCTCCAATGCACAACATAATTCTCGATGGAAACAAATCAACATATAGTACATATTATTACCATACATCCTGCGAGATAGTAGCACACAGTTTGCACAACAGGCAAAGGCAAACTTCTGCAACTTTCGGAACCAATGTCAAGCTCTGGTCCTTGGCTAAAGTTTTGAAAGGCTAAGAGAAAAGGTGCATCCATGCCCGAGAGACATTATTACCCTGAATAAATTGTTTTGTGCGAACATGAGTAATTTTTTGCCAGTTTGGATCATCAGCCGTTTGGCAGCTCTTCATGAATGACTTGTCACAGTCATGAAGTATAAAAGATTGTAGAGATACGGGCAGAGTTGGAAGTGACCGAACATTTGGGCACCACCGCAAAAACAAATTCTGTAGTTGTGGCAGGGTCCCCAAATTCTCCGGCAAGCTGCTCAACTGGCACCAATCAAAGTAAAGCGTTGCTAGAGAAGGAAACTGTTGCAGGATTTCTTCTTCCCTCAGCTCATTCGATTGCTCAATACTAAGAATCCGTAGAGATGAGAAGCCTTTTCTTGACATCAGACGTGGCACAAGGGGTATGTCATCAACAGTGATCCTAACAAGACATTGTACCTTTTCGGCCTCTTCAAGGGTCATAAGAAGGTTGGGACACTTCATGATGGTGAGGTGTTGCAGGCTGATGAGATAATTTAGGCCTTGCAAACAAGTAAATTGGGCACAATTAATGATTTTGAGAGTCTGAAGCATAGTTAGAGACATCATCACCTCACAAGGGATTGCTCTGAAAAAGGGAAGATACATTAAGGTCAACCAAGTTAGGGATGCAGAACGTCTCCACCAGTTATGGAGGACGGTGTCAGTGATGACACAATATGAGATAACGAGGGAATCTAATGACGCAGGACACAGAAATTGGGAGTAATCTTCCTCCGTTATCTGGCCTCGGATAAACCTAGCAGGAAAACTAGCACATGTGCTTCCAAAAATGCTGCGCAAGATTGCGTCAAATCTTTCAGGCTGCTCTTGAGCAAACCGATGTATCTCCTCAGGATGTACTGTAATCTGCAAGGATGGCTCGATTTGAGACACTCATTCGTTGAAAAGTGACCTCATCAGCTTCACATCTTCCACACATGTCTCAACTATAGCCTCACAGATATGAATGGCTAGGCTCTTCAGGCTATCTGGAAGTCTTGGCAACTTCTTTAGCTTGTGAAGAGCAATAAGTCTAAGCTCATCAAGGTGAATGAAAAGCTCACTGATATCAGGGAGAGCTTCAAGGTTAACACAATGCTCGAGTTCTAGGCATCGTAGGCTACTAAACTTTTGCTCCAACCAGCTTGGGCACTTCCATCCTCTGTAGCCATATATTACTAGTTTTGTTAGCTGTGACGGTGGGCAGAGGCCCTCAATTACCTCCGCTTCGAGGTCTGGATGTTGACTAGACGGCTGCAATGGCCATTCAAGTATCAATGTTGTCAGGTACTTCTTGTCAGATAGCTTGGCTTCTAGTGCTCTCTCCTTGCTTTCCACATTTTCAAGGCCACTGATTCTCAGGCTGCCACAAAGGTGATTTAGTCCCTCCAGCTGCTGCAACTCATACCCCTTCTCCTTCCTCACTCTAAAGTCACTCAATTCTTGAAGTGATTTCATCTCCGCAACCCCAGGAAAACATGAAACCTTAGAAAAATGAAATAAACGATGTCTGGAGTTCTTGACGTGTCTCAAGCTATTCATGCTACTCATGTTCTTCACGTTGGAGAATTCTAAAAAACCTTCACCCTGGAGCTCTAAAGTCTGCAGATGATATAGTTTATCAAAATGTCTTGGCAAATGTATCTGACTGTACAAACTGTTGGTGAAGGCATTGATGGTGAGAGAATGTAGATGTTTTAAGTCACAAATACAGGCAGGGATCTTCACCATTTTGCCTTGTAGAGGCACATGCACAACACTCAATTTCTTTAACTTTTTCAAAATTCCCTCAAATTCTTGTATGGTTATTATAGTCAGACCTTCAATGCTAGTAATGATTAATGTGCGTAAATTTTCTAATTTGCAAATCTGCTTGATAAACTTCATTGGTTCGTTCAACCTCACAAAAAGATGGCGAACATCAGGAGGGAACTGTTTCATCTCACTGCCATCAATTCGGGTACAATCATTTCCAGCAACCATGGTAGCCAATTCATGCAGAAGATCATGAGTAGTAACCCACTCATTCTCATTGGTGCTATTTGTGTATTTTCCCGTTTGCAGAAATGAGCATGACACCAGTTCATCAAAGTAGCCATGTGCTATATATTCCATTTCCTCAACAGTACCTGTAGTTTTTATAAAGCCTTCTGTCATCCATAAGCCAACTAACTCAGCACGTCCAAACTTGTCTCCTTGGGGAAATATGCTGCAATATGCAAAGCACCTCCTAACATGCTCATCAAGGTATTGATAGCTCCATCATAGAGCTCCCATGGTATCTGTCAACAAGTCATGATCTTCAACTCTTCTCCAAATGGTAGCTTTTAATTGTTTACGTAGTTGTGCTCCTACTACTCTTGCTGCTAATGGTGACCTCTTCAGTTTTTTTGCAATCTTTCCGCCTATTATCTTAAAAGTTTCTGATTCTTGGTCACCAAGATTTGTGTCATGTAGTGCATAATGCATAAAAAGGTGGAAGAAATCCATCTCGTTCAAGTCAGGTATTAAGATAGGGCTATGACAACGTAGATACTTAGCTGCATCGACAAATCGAGTCGTGAGCAGGACCTTACTCCCTGTATTCCCGACCTCAAGCGGAGAAAGTAGCTGATCCAATTGGTATTCATCTTTGTCATCCTTCGCAGTCCATACATCATCCAAGACTAACAGGAACCTTTTGCCTCTCAGTGCTTCCTCTAACTTCATCTGTAGGGTGTCAAGATTACTGTAGTCATGGCATGGCTCCCTAAAGCTGCCTCAAGCATCTGACAATAAATTCCATGCACACTGAAAATCTGATTAACCTGAATCCACATGATAGGTTTAAAATAGTTCTCTGTTCGTTCAAAGGTACAAACATGTTGTGCTAGTGTTGTCTTCCCAGAACCAGCAATACCGTAGATACCAATCACTGAATAACACTTGCTGTTACTGGAGGCTGGTTCGGAAACACTTTCATGGAGCATCCTTCTTATGTCATCACGTTCCTTGTCTCTACCAATTATGAAACCTGTCACAGATGAAGTAGTGGCAATCCTGGCTGCGCTGTTTGCAGGATCTGATATGTCATTGCTACTACTACCACTAGTAATGGTGCTAGCCAGCGGTGACAAAAGCTGAGACCCTTCTTCAATTATGTTTTCCAACTTCTTTAGAGCATTCTTCAGTTTTCTGTTTTTTCCAGAGGTGATTTGTTTCACACGGTTTATAGTTATTGCTGACTTGGTTCCCGACTGAGACATGACCTGCATGAAACGATTGAAATGTTACACACTGACACTTAAGTTTTAGATGACATTTGGATGCTGTGGTATTGATAAACTAGAGTGCGAAAAAAGTTATGCAACAGTTGCTAAGTGCATCATCTGATTATTCTTGCCTTAGTTTCATTTTTTTTTCTGAACAGAGATTATTCTAACTGTTTGATTTTCAGTTTCAGAGAGTTTTGATTATCAAATCTGGAATTGCAATTCTACTATAGCTATTAGCTAGGTGGACTTGTAACCTGCTTCTCAAGGCGGTGATAGTCGGCGACGTCAAGGATGTCCTCGGCGTCGTAGAAGGCGGACTTGAGCCTCCTCGCCCACTGCTCCAGACGATCCCGCTGTCCGGGAGGGATCTTCTCGGCCCGTTGCCGCATCAGCTCCAGCCGCGGGAGAAGACGTTCCTCCAGATCGCGCAGCTTTTCTGACTCGTCGAAGCCTGGTGGTGATGGGTGACGCGATCCACCCCAGTGTGGAGATGGCGCACCCGACCGCTGCAACCTCCGCCATGGACGCAACCAAGCAAGCAAAGGAAGCAGGAAGGAAACCCAGAGTGTGCGCGTCTGTGTTCTTGGTTTCTTGCTCAGCTCAGCTCGGTGGAAATTCTAGTTCGTGGACGAGGCAGTTCTAGGATTCTATCCACACATCGTGGAGTGAGTTCTTCCACATAGGGATAACTGGATATGGTTTGCAGCAACAAGACGACGAGAAAATTGGTTAGTCGTCGTCGTGGTCGTCTCTAAGCTCTTTCCTTGGAAGTTGCTGTTGTAGTTTCAGTGATAGCAAATTAGCAATGCCGGTTTCATCAATGTATGCACAAGGCTGCAGGGCCTGATAGGCGATAGCACACTTGTTAGATTTCTCTTTTTATTTTCTTTAGCAAATTAGATTTCTCTTCTGTCGATGAAAAATGCGTTCTCAGTTCTCATGCATGCCTGAATATTCGTCTTTCTTATAAGCAGAGCCCTTCAGAAAAAGAAATGCATTTGCATTCTCATCCTAGCTACGCGCAAATATCTGGCATTGCAATATTATTTTGAATTGAAGTTAGTATTTAAATCCCAACTTCATTATAGTCACCAAACAAAAAAGATCATTGATGCCCCCTTTGAAACACAGGAATAGAAAAATTATTATAGTAATTACACAGGAATGCAAATGCAGAACACGCGACTGAAAAAAACACAGGGATTTGAAGGGACGGATCATGGGAAAAACGCTGGATTTTTACCCAGAGGTTTGAGTGGATGCTAAATTTCCTATAGTTTTCCTAAAAAACAGCATTCATAGGAAAAACTTAGGATTTTTACCAAGAGATTTGAGTAGATGCTAAATTTTCTATAGTTTTCCTCAAGAATAGTACTGAAAGGAAAATTTTCTACACTATTCCTATGCTCCATTCATGTAAACCAAAGGCATAAACAGTATTTTTAGAAGAAGAAGAAAAGGTCATGAACAATAGCAATTCCTATAGTAGCAGTTCCTATAGGATTCTCAATCGTATGTTTTTTCTCCATTTCTTGTATGAACCAAACGAGGCCTGAATTCGCAGCCTCTGCCTTTTCTATAGTGCTGGTTCAAAAGGTTTTCACAGTTTCCTTGAAAGCTGTTTCCCAGGAGAGCTTCAGTTTGGGTTTCACTGCCACAGTGACTGCATTTTTGCATTGCAGCCGCGCCGTTGTCCTGACCCATCAGATCGGACGGCTCAGGGACACCCCCTCACATCCGACGGCCAATCAAGCTCCTGCTCCCCCCGGCCGCACCCGCACAGCGGCAACAGCCCAACCCACCCCCGCCGTCCCCACCACCAGGCCAGGGTTTATCGCGCCGCCGCCTCCTAAACCCACCTCGCCTCCGCCCCGACGCGGCGGCGCCTTCCAGAAGAGCTCCCACAACCGCCGTTGTTGGCGGGGGCGCCCAACCAGCCATGTGGGTTCTCCGGGGCCTCCTCCGGGCAGCCTCGCCGTCGCTCCGCCGCAGGTGCGTTCCGCCCCTTCCCTCGACTCCGGAACAGCAGCACCGGCTCTCCCCCCATCCCTCTCGATCTCTGTTGACGCGCGCGCGTTTGTGTTTCTGCGGCGGGACAGCTCCGGGCGCTTCGCCGCGAGGGGCGAGGCGGTGGCCGCGGCCTCGGGCTCCGCTCCGGCGCCCGCGGGGCTGCCGGCGGCGGGAGCGGGAGCCGACGGCGCGTGGCGGCGGGCGATGTCGACCAAGGGGAGGAGCATGCGGAGCAAGGTGGAGAAGCGGATGGCGAGGGAGACCGGCCGCACGCAGCGGGAGCTCCGCCGCGCCGTCAAGCTCAGGAAGAAGCTCATGACCGAGGACGAGAAGCTCATCTACAACCTGCGCAGGGTAAGGAGGCCCCAAATTGCCCCCCGTTTTTCATTCCCTCGTGAAAATCAGTAGTGACCCGCCTCTTCCAAGTGGGACGCGATTCGTTGAATTGTTATGGTTTTTTTTTTTTTGTTGTTGAAAGTGTTGCTCTCTATATGAAGAGAGGAATCGGGAATGTAGGGTGTAATGTTAAAGAAAAACTATTGGTATTGAGGTACTGGCACAAGTAATTGTTCATCCCAGAAAATAGTGAATACAGCTATATTGTTTGGGGGTTTTGCTCTGTTTATCAGAAGGAATCAAATAGCTAACATAGAAGATTGTAAAGTCAACCACACCTTTTGTACACATATTTAAGCTTGATACAGTTCCCATGATTTATAAGGTTTTCAAATCCAAAAATTATGTGCTAATATGTATGTCGTGCATATATCATGGCATATTTGAAGCCCTATGGAGCATTTCTTATGTACTGAACACAGTGCTTGCATTCTTTTAGGCTTGAAGAAAAATCAGTGTCAATAAATAACAAAAAATATATGGCTTATTTGTATAATGATTGGGTGCTTAACACTAGCTGAGCTGGCACCCCTGTTAAAAATAAAAAATAGTAATTTCCAGATATGTCATGAGAATCTAAGTAAACTACATCGTCTATTGTCTTTGGTCTATTCTTTTAGTAGCAAAGTCCTTGACTTATCATATTCTCCGTTTCCTTTTATCTAGGCCAAGAAAAAAGTGGCTTTGCTCCTACAGAAGCTCAAGAAGTATGAGCTACCAGACTTACCAGCTCCTCGTCATGATCCTGAGCTGTTAACGGCAGAGCAACTACAAGCCTACAAGAAGATTGGATTCAGAAATAGAAACTATGTGCCTGTTGGAGTTCGTGGAGTCTTTGGAGGTGTTGTTCAAAACATGCATATGCACTGGAAATTCCATGAGACGGTACAAGTTTGTTGTGACAACTTCCCAAAGGAAAAAATTAAGGAAATGGCAGCAATGCTGACAAGATTGAGTGGTGGAATAGTGATCAACATTCATAATACCAAAACAATCATCATGTTTCGAGGAAGAAACTACCGTCAACCAAAGAACCTTATACCTTTCAATACACTTACCAAAAGGAAGGTCAGTCCCTTGCAACTGATGTGTCTGTCTCAGTTAGCACTTCCTTGCTATTTCCATTCTACTTACCACTTGCTCTGGATAATGCATGTACTCTGTATGGCATTTGTGAATAACCAATTCCTAGAGTACTGGTTTGTTTAGGTTTCATATGGTTAACTCCAATGGAGTATCCTTCTTTCCCATCAAATCGATTATCTCCATCTTTGCAAGACTTTTTCTCGCGATCTGTGTATTAAGAAGACTTTTAGTTACTGAATAATTTAGTTACATTGTTTATTCTTTGTTATGGCTCATGGGGCTTGATACAAGTATTCTTGTTGCAGGCATTATTCAAGGCTAGATTTGAGCAAGCACTTGAATCGCAGAAATTAAACATCAAGAAAATAGAAACTCAACTCCGTCGTAAGGGTATCAATCCAGAGGACCCAGTTGCTATGGCCAGCATTCAGCGTGTTGCCTCTACGTTCTTCCGAGCCATAGATGAGCAGCAAGGTACTCCCTATATTTTCCGTGGGGACGCACAACCTTCTGCTGGGGCTTCTGAAATAAAAGAACCACGTGATGAACCATCTGAAGATAGTGACCAGGAGGAGCTTGACAGGTTCATTTCAGAGATAGAAAGTGCAGCAGAGAAGCAATGGGAGGAAGAAGAGGCCGCAGAGAATGAAGAATCTTCAAGAATGCGATATTGGGAGAGGGAAGATATAGGTGATCGGAGGGGTTTCAACAGAAGTTATGAAAACTCAGATTATGAGGATAGAGGACAGGGAAGATATAGGAGAGAGCATAACAACAACAGAAGGACTTCAGATGCAAGGAGGTGGGATGATGATAGCGAGTTCGAGGCATCAGGTGAAGAATGGGACTCTGGTGATGACAGGGGTAATGCTCTGGGCTTCGACAATGATAGAGATTCTACTGATGAGCATCCTCGACGATTTGGAAGCATGAGGAACGAGAAGAGCAGATCCAGTCGGACACAGGATTTTGTTCCTAGGGGAGAAGTGGGCGAGGGGAAGGGTTTCATTAGAAGCTATGGCAACTCAGATGTTCTCAATAGAGGCCAGGGAAGACATAGGAGAGATAATAACAACAACAAAAGAACATCAGATGCAAGGAGGTGGGATGATGATAGTGAGATCGAGGCATCAGGTGGAGAATGGGACTCTGGTGATGACAGTGATAATGTTCTTGGACTCGACAATGATATAGACGCATCTGATGTTCATCCTCGACAGTTCAAAAGTATGAGGAATGAGAAGAGCAGATCCAGTGGCAGGCAGAATTCCATACCTGGGGGATTCAGAGGTTCCAATCGGATTCCAGGGAATTCAGTCAATGGTTCCGATGGCACTATGTTCAGAGGCAGCAACGGTGATGAGTTAGACACCGAAGATGATGACCTGTGGGGGTCAGATTATAAGGGGAAGGAAACAAACTCAAGAGCCCCAAAGGTGAATTTCCCAAGTTTCCACAGCAGTAGTGAGGACAGTGATGACAACAGGAGAAACGATGGCAAGATTGGTAAAATGAAGAAAAATACTGATGAAAGTTGGGACAGTGACTGAGAACTCAAGAAAGAGTAATGTTGATATGTGGTGCATGAAGGTCAGCTCCAATGACTGTCAAACCACTGATCCAGATTCTTTCATTGGCCGCATTGCTCATGTATTTGTCCAATGTTAATCTTGAGGAGCTAGAGGAATAAGCATGATTTCCCTGAGAACTAGTGTCTGAACGTTTGCCGCAAGTTTTCAGACGTCTTTTGTTCCAGTTGCCATGGTATAACCTGAAAAGTTGCCTGAACTGAATGAGGGGCAAGTTGTCAACGGTGTGCTAAGCTGCTAGCCTCATCAAAGCCAGAATACTGCAATGACTTGCACAACGGAGGACAAAGTGGCGGATGTAGTCAGAG